TGTAGATCATCAGAAATAATGTTACTGCTTTAATATCTGCAATAGACCCCTGAAAACTCCATGATATTGCTGAAAACTCCATGACCGGGTGGAACACTGTTATTGGCAAGTCAGCATTTGTGAAAAATAAATAAATAAGAAACTAAATCCTTCATCATCATCATCATCATCCCATTAAACAGATTCATTGGAATGAAAGAAACCCTCATTCATAGCTGCAGTGGCTGCTGTAATTGGCTCACATCTGTTTGTGCTGCTGATGAGGCCAGAGAGCAGCTCATCTACACACTCCACCTGCCACACACACCAGCTGAGCCCACATTACCATACACACACACACACACACACACACACACACACACACACACACACACACACATCTGATTACAAACACACACTCTGTCACAACCACACACACATACATGCCCACATAAACACACACACACACACACAGTCACACAAATGCAGAGATGAACGCGCACACATTTGTTTTGAATCTTTATGTTTAAGTCACAGTAACACGTGTATATAAACTGTTCATCATCACTATAAGTGCAGATTTAGTGTGTGTGTGTGTGTATGATCAGATAATTGTATGTTTGAACATGTATACTTTGTGTGTGTGTGTGTGTGTGTGAGAGAGAGAGAGAGAGTGTGTATACTGTATGGTTGTGTGTGTAAGAGATTGTGTGTGTGTGTGTGTGTGTGTGTGTGTGTGTGTGTTTGTGATCAGATCATTGTATGTTTGAGTATGTATATTTTGTGTGTGTACGAGACAACAGGTGTGTGTACTGTTTGCTTGTGAGTGAGAGTATGTTTGTCATCAGATGGGTGTGTGTGTGTGTGTGAGCACGTATACTGTGTAAGTGTGTGTGTGTGTGTGTGAGAGAGAGGATGTCTTTGAGTGTATTTTTGATATAGATGTTTGCATCTGTGTGTGTGAGAAAGCATTTAATCAGTACAGAGAGAGTGTGTGTGTGTGAGTGTGCACGCATCAGTGCTGAGGGTTAATGAAGGTGTAAATGTCAGTCAGCGCCTGCAGAAAGTCTTGATCAGCTTCATCTGTCAGCATTACAGCATTAATGAAGGCTTGATTGTGCAGCACAGAGTGGACACACACACACACACACACACACACACACACACATCCCTCATCCCTAATATCATCATATGATTGGAATTATTCTGCAGGACAGATGGACCCTGTGTGTGTGTGTGTGTGTGTGTGGGCTGAACACCTGCTCATTGTTTCTCATGTACACACACACACACACACACACACACACACACAGTCAATCAGTGCTCTTTCTGTCATGTGTGTCCTTCACTGTCAGCAGGAGTCAGAATAATAATAATAATAAGCCCTGTTTGGCTGTATTCATGTCATATCATAATGCATGTTTCAGCACAGTAGTGCATGATCAGAGTCACTCGTCTTCTCTCTGAACAGCAGAGCACGGCTTCACAATCCAGCAGATTTCTTCCACATTCTTGCCAAAGCCTCATTTCTGATGTTGTTATTTATTTCCCACATTTGTGTGTGTGTTCATGTGGTTTCTTCCTCCATTTCAGTATGTGTGGTGAGAGTGTGTCCTCATCCATTCCTCTGCATGTAATGAGCGGCAT